CAGCCCCCGGAGCAGCAGGACCCAGCTGAGCATCCGGCCCGCATCGTTCTGCATTGTCCCTCCCAGGCTTTTCAAACTCCGGGATCTGGGAAAAACACAAACCTTTCCCTAGCAGGAGGAGCAAAAAGCTGTTTGTTTCCACTGGTTTATTTTTTTTTTTTTACTCCCTGTTATGTTTTCTCAGGAAGCAAAGCCACGGCAGGTCCACAGCGAGCGCTTTCCTGGGCTGTAAAATTCCCTATTATCCACTTCTGCTTCCTTTGCTGTGGGATTTAAGGATGCCTCCTCCTTGAGACCAGGGATATGTCATCATTTTGTTGGACTACCAGCTCTGACAGCCTTGTCTCTCCCAGTTTGTGCTCACAGTGCTGGGAAAAGGAAGGGGAAAAAGCTGAGAGGGAGAAAAAAAAAAATCAAGGGGAAAATCCAACTATGACTAAATTCTTCCCTAATCTATTCCTGTTATTTCTCCTGCTGCAAAAATAAACTCTGTATATAAAAAAGAGCCTTAAATTAAGCTCTCTTGCTCCCAGTGCATTTTGAAATAAGTTATTTGAATCCTTGGCTGATCTATTTTAACAAATATCATCTCCCGCGTCCATCACTCCTCCTGTCTTTTTGATCTCTTTTTCCCTACTTATCATGTTCTTTATTTGAAACAGATTTTTAACAGATAATCTCCGCCGTTATAACAATATCTTGCTCGCATTTTATTCAAATAATTCTTAAAAACAGCTTAAAAAGCCGTTTGGAATAACATCAAGCTCTCCATCAATCAAACAGCAAAAATTCCGCTGGCGGTTGTATAAACATCAGATCAACTCCGACGTCTTCAAGGATTTCAGAGCAAACCATAAAAAACTCCATTAACTTCTGACAAAGAATGCAAATTAATCACAACATGGGGTGAAATGAAATTAAAGGCTCTTTTCTAATCAATGACAAGGCAGGATGAAATATTTGGTGCCGGGATGCTCCCGATTTTTTATTTATTTTTTATTTTATTTTTTTCCCCCCGCGTGGAAAAGGGGGATTCACCCGGGGTGGCTCTTTAGCCCTCCCCATCCCTACAGCGATCTGCTTACAAGTCGCCCCAGCTCCACAAAACACACTAATCATCCGAATCTCAGGTGCATCCAATTTGTTATTCACACTCTCCCGGTGCCAAGAAAAAAAAAAAAAAAAAAAAAAAAAAAAGCCTGGCGTAGACAGATGCACCGGGAACCTTAAATGACAGTTTTGGCCTCCGGAAGTGCGATCGCTACAGCAAAATCTAGTACAGCCTCCAGGTGAAATGTCTGGAGCTCCATATGGAGCAGGGAAAATTAACAACAAGATGAAAATCGCTGTAGCAGCGGGGAGTCGGAATTTAACAAAAAAAAAAAAAAAAAAAAAAAAAAGAGGGAAAAAAAAAAGGAAAGGAGGAAAAAAAATAAAAAAAAAGAGGGGAAAAAAATTTTAAAGATGAGACAAGAGAAGTAATAAATTAATGGGGTGTGAAAACATTCAAAGCTTTACAATACCAGGGGCAGTATTTGCTCAGATTTGGGGGGGAGCAGTGGGAGCAGCAGGGTGGGAAGGGGGAGCACGGGATGGGAGGAGGGGGGGAATGAGCGATGGGAATATTTTTGGTGCTTTTTTCCTTTAAAAATAAAAAAAAAATCAGGTCGTTTTCATTGAAATTATTAAGAGAAGGTTGGGATTGTATTTTTCTAAATGTAAAAGTCTGGTAAATGCAGTGGTGGTGGTCCTGCAGCTGCTGAATCCTCGGCAGCTGAGTGCTGCCTGCTCCTTTGGAATATTTCCCTGATGGATGCACCATCCTTTTCACACCCTGCTTTGGATAAAGTTTGACTACAAGCCGAGAATATTTAGTGGGCAATTCTTTTCATTTCTCCTAAATTGCATTATCATTAAACAAGGCTTTGCCCCCACCGTGGTTTTATTGGTGGGATTTCAATCTCTGGGATTCTCTGTGAGGTTTGTTCGGATCTTTGGGGTTCAAACCTCAAATTTAATTAAATATTCTAGGTGCCGTGGCCTTTTGGGGTATCTCTTTTTCTTTTCAGTTGTTTGTGTAAAATCAAAATAATGTAAATTAAGGAGAAACTTTTAAAGGAAAATTTAAAACTCATTTTCCTGGTGTGCCATCCCTAAAAAGCTGGATGGGTAATGGACCAGCACCCTTGGAAAAGGGGTTTCCTTTCTTTTTTTAATGTTTATGTAGAAATTAACTTGGTTCAAGGGTATTTGTGAGCACATGCACCATTCTTATTAATCAGTAGCGTGATGCAAATAAATCCAGGGTGAATTTGCCCTTAAAAACTTCCCTTTGTACCCAAGGAAAATCCTACAAGCATCGTTCCTTCCCGCTTCCAAAGGGACTTTTACATTTTACAAAAGCACATTCCATGACCATGACAGGAAAACCAACAACAAAACAATGAAACGCACCAAAAATTCAGATATTTACTCCATTTTCAGTCTTAAGAGTTCCCTGTGCAAAGTTTTTAGAGCAGAAAAGTCAGTTGAGAGCATCCCTATTTGCTATTTCCCTGCTCAGATCGTTCCCTTTTGCTGTTAGATGCTGGTTATGAAGATTATATTCTGTATATTGAGACAATATTGAGATTATGAAGATTTTATTCTGTATACAGAGACAGAAAAATATAATTAGAGTTAATAATTATATATTAACTCTAAACACACCTGTAAGGAACTTTACTAAGACAGCAGTTGCTCAAAGTGCTTTCAAGATAAGACTTAATTGTAAAGATTAAATAATGATTAATAATTCAGCAAAATAAACACTTATAAAATAAATACTTATCAAAGATGTGGGAAATGAGAAGTGGGAAGTCCTGCCATGAAAATATTCTACTGAAGGCCAGAAAATGAAATAATCATCCTTTAGTTTTACTGGCAGATTGCAGGATGTCCTGAATTTCCACACTGCAGTGATTTCCCCCTATAAATCTTCTTCATTTAAACTGAATTTACACACACCATTTGTCTGTGTCTTAAAAATAAAGGAAAAAAAAAATACATTTTTTGCAGCTGCAGCTGGAGACAAACATCCATTTGTAGGAAATTTCAGGTGTTCTCACCCACGTGGCCACACTCTCCATTTTCACAGGGAAGCAACTTGGAGGTTTTTAGGGACAAATTTGGAACCACACATGTGATTAACTTCATTCCCTGAATAACCCCACTGAAGTGAGGAGGAATTACTCAAGGAATGAGCAGAATCAGGCCCTTACTAGGAAAATAGAAATTAAAAACCCCCTATTAATTATCCCCCTAACCAAAGAAGGTTTCTAAGGGCTCTCCCTCCCAGCACATGCCTAAAATACACAAATTCCCATAAAATCCCTTCTGAAAAGCAGTTGCTTGAAAAGCTTAATAGCCACATTTTAAAAGTTTCACCTCCTCGACTGTTTTGCATTAAAAAATATATACAATTTCATGGACTACTGCCTTGCCAAATATTCTTTCACAAACCCGATCTGCTTTTTAATTAGAACAGCAAAAAGCATCTTTAAACTTGGCAATCATGGTTTGCTCCCAGTTCAGGGAGACATTTTTGCCTGGAACCACATGGAATGTCCATGTTCCAACCTCCTCCTCCCTGCTCTGACCTGTCCATCAGGTTTATTTTGAATTGTCCCCTCACCACTTTGGATTTTAGGTTAAAAAGCACCGAAACACGACCATCGAGACCCTCAGAGCTCTCCAAGCATGGAGGGCTCTTCAACACAAGAGTTTCTTTTCTTTTGCAATCCTCTCCTCCAAAACCACATTTAAAATCCAGATAAAATATTCCAAGTCTATTCTCTTAATAGTGTCAGTGAACATTTTGCAGAGGAAACAAAAAAAAAAAAAAGTGAAAAATCAGGATATTTCAACCCAGGCAAAACCTTCCCAAGTCTGTAAAAGTGTCAGGAGAATTTGCTTAAAACAGCTTCTAAAAATGGGAGAGGGAATGAGTCCCAGCCTATTATTCAATAACCATGTTTGTGAGGCATCTGCATAATCTAACCATGCATAAATTAGTATGTGTATTACAACAGTTATTTGCATAATAATAGCAAGTTAATAGATGCTTAAAGAGCACAGACCAACACCACCTTTAAATCAGACATGCCTCCAGGCACTGCGAGCTGTAGAGACCAAGATGCAGAGAACAGTCTTCGTAAAACATATGAAAACATAAAAAACCACATTCAAATAATTCATTTTTGTCCCTGGACACTTCACTTCTTTCCCCCCTCTCTCCGGAAAGAATAATTGGAGGAAGTGCTGAACAGTTTGTTCCTGTGAATTCTAACATCCATCTCGAGATGAGAATTTCAAGTAATCGCCAAAGCCAGTTCTGGATTTGTTTTGTTCAGAGCTTCATGGGGTTTTTAAGTGTAAAAAGTAAAATACTGGTGGTGGTGCAGAGCTCAGCATCCACCCAACCGCTGCCACTAGAGATGGAAAGAGTTGTACCAGGAGCTTCAGGTGGAAACTTAGAAAATACCAGTATTTACATCAAATACTAATATTAGGTCCTCTTCAAAGGAAGAATTTGAAGCTCCCTTAAGTATTCCATTCACATTCTGTTTTTGAGGAGATTTTAGACCATCGCACCATCGTTCAAAATCAGAATTAAAAATTAAAATTATAAGGAAAGGAGCAGATACACTTTCCTGCTTTAAAAAAAAATGTTGTAAAGACTGGATTATTTTTTAATCTCCCAACAAAATTAACAAGACTAACAGCATCATAATTTTCCTTGGCTCCAGGGGAGGAAAACAGAATTTGGAGAAGAGAAAAAGAGGGGGGCAAGGAAAAAAAAAATCAATAGAGACTTCTAAATGACTCCTTCCAGCTCCCACTTTTCAATTTAACAGGACAGATTTATTTGTATGTGGCTCAAATGTTCACAATTGCTCTCTGCACCTTCATACATAGGAATGAATGTCACAGTGGCAAACAGCAGTAATGAACAATCTTACCTGAGGATATGGAAACCTCCCAAGAGCAAGCTGGGAAAGGAAATAATATTTGTCTAGTTATAGAGATTTGCATGGAGGGCACATTTCCTTCAAGTGAGAGAAGTACTCAACTCTCACGATGGTAGGAATTGGGGAAATGGCAAAAAAGGGATTCTGCAGACACAAAGAGCTGTATTTAGAATGGGCCCTTCACAACCATCACCCCTCGTTTTTCTGGGGATTTCCCTCAGTGCCACCCTTTGATGCTCAAATTCAGGCACATTTCCTTCAAGAGAGAAATATTCCCAGCTCTCAGGAGAAAATGGCAAAAAAGGGACTCTGCAGACAAAAGGAGCTGTATTTAGAATGGGCCCCTTACAACCAGCACCCCTCAGGATTTCTGGGTTTCTCCAGTCCTTTCATTTCCCTCAGTGCCACCCTTTGATGCCCCAATTTGGGCACATTTCCTTCAGGAGAGAAAAGTTCTCCACTCTCAGAATGGCAGAAATTGAAATGGCAAAAAAGGGATTCCGCAGACACAAAGAGCTGTATTCAGAATGGGCCCTTCACAACCATCACCCCTCGTTTTTCCCGGGATTTCTGGGTTTCTCCAGCCCTCGTGTCTCCCTCAATGCCACCGCTGGATGCCCAGGTTCCCCAGGAGTGGAAATGAAACCAGTTCAGCCTCAGCAGGGAGGCCAAGGCACTGCCCTTTGCTGATAATTATCTGTGATGAGCAGGCAGCTCCCAACTCCCAAAGTCCTCCCTTAACTGGCTCAGGGTAAAATCTGGGTTACAGAGCTGAGCTTGGTGTCCCTGTTGGTGACAAACCTGAGTGGGATGTGGGGAGAGCCCACAGCACCCACAGAGAAACCTCATCCTTCCTCCAGATCTACTTTGCCAGGATATTGATTGCATTTGCTGCCCCTGCTGCTTTTTAAGTTAATCCAGGCGTTACAGAGTAGTCCCAAAATCAGTATTTTTATGGATGTTGTCTAAAAATATTCTACTGGCCATAACTAATGAACATTCCAAGAGAAATTCTTTGTACTAGGCAGGTTCTCCCACTCAGTGGGAAACCCTGGAAATAACTCCAGCAAAGTGCAGCTGCTTGGAGTTATTTTGTCTGCTATTGAGTGAAGGATCAAGGTTTTCAGGGTCAGAATCACAGAATCTTTTAGAAAAGCCCTCTCAGATCGAATCCAACCATCCCCAGCACTTGCAAGGCCACCACTGCCCACGTCCCCAAGTGCCACATGCACAAAGCTGTTAAATGGGATGTGACTCCAGCAGCTGTGCCAGTGCTTGAAAACCCTTCCCATGAAGGGATTTTCCATGATATCCACACTTACCTTCCTCTGGCACACCCTGAGCTGACCCAGGGCATTGAGAGCAGCTCAGTTCTGTCTTTCTACGTGTGCCACAGAGGAGCCAAGAGCTTCCCTACAGCCCACATAACCTTTGAGAGTCCTCCTGTCACCAAGTGCAGAGGAAGGCCTGGCCCTGAGGTTACGGATGCAGAGAAACCATGGATTTCCCAGGTGGATAAACTCATTCCACTCCCACCATCCTGAGCAAGAGCAGCAGTGCTGAAGGTCTGAGCCACCGCGTCACCCACACCAAGGGACAAACCCACAGCAGGGCTGGGCAAAGGCACTCCCAGCCCTGCCCTGGCACTGCCCCCTGGGCTGGGGATACCTGAGCTGGCCAGATTTATACCTCAGGTTTAGATTTTATATTTTTCAGGTTCTGTCTTTATTCTTTACCTTTGTCCAGTCTCTGTTCTAGGTCAGGCTTCATAAGGCATCACTTGCAGCTCCCCAGAGGTGAAATTTCAGCCTTTTGGCAGCACAGAACTCTGCTGAGGACAAGGCCAAGGCACAGACAGAGCTGCAGTGAGGTACTGCACATCCCTGGGTGGGCAGGCCCTGGCACAGGTGCCCAGAGCAGCTGTGGCTGCCCCTGGATCCCTGGCAGTGCCCAAGGCCAGGTTGGACATTGGGGCTGGGAGCAGCCTGGGACAGTGGAAGGTGCTCCTGCCCAGATGATCTTGAAGGTCCCTTTCACCCCAAACCATTTTGGAATTCTCTGATCATTCCCACCTCAGCAAAGTCGCCTGGGTCACTCTCAAGGCAGGCTCTGCTACAGAGTCCAACAAAGACCCTTCATTTTCTGTTGTGGGGCTATAAACCCCATCCTTTACCACCTTCTCCTCTTTTGGGAGCTCCACACTCCTGTCCCAGCAGAAATCTGAGATCCTGAGGAGCTGTGCTGTTGTGACAACCTAGAAATAAACCCATCAAAGCCCGACAGTTTTCCATGACCAGAAGCAGAGTAAGTTCTGATTTTTCACTGAAGAACAGTGAGAAACTCCAGACAGAACAAGCAGATAATTATGGTTCTGTGCACAGAGCATTTTTCTGCAATGTTATTTAAGAAAAACAATCCCTGCCTTGAAGATGACTCCAAACAAAGCATTTCCATTCCCACTGACCACTCCAGGCTCAGCAGGGGCTCCAAGGCTGCAGAAAAACTGGGGGAAAGAGCCAGACACAAATAAAGGGTGAATAAATGAGCACTGAAGGACCCCAAAAATGCATCAGCAACAAGTTCTTTGGGGGTTGTTAAAAGGAAACACTTCTCAGTGAAGCTGAGAGCTGAAACACAGAGGACCAGCTCCTGTGCCACTTCTGCATCCCCTGCACCACCACTGCATCCATCTGCTCAGATTTCCTGCCTGCAACATTGTCAAGGTATTATAAATTAAGAAACTTAGCAAAGAGTCTGTAATCTTCCCCAAAATAGCCTGCAGATATGTCACTGTACTAAATGTGTTTCAGATTTAATGAAGCTTTAATGTCCTTTTTAATTTTGCCTGTTTCTGTATCACCAGGGGTCGAGCGAGGCAATCAGCACTCGAGAGGGTGGTTTGGTTTAAAACTAGGAAAAACTCATTTGCTTATGAGTTGCACTGTATTTTCTTAATTAAATTTACTAAGTAAAACGGTTTAAGTTCAGCCAACCAGTGACCTCTGGGTGTAGATTTAGATTTATAAAAAGTGTCACCGTTAAAGTTAGACTAAAAAAAAGCCAAAAAACCCAAACAACAAACAGATGAGAGATTCACTAAAGGGATTTTCAAATTATCATTTGTCTCAAGGAAGTCACAGGGAACATGAGGAACAAGCCCAGTGAAGGAGGGAAAAACCAAAACCTACCAAATGAATAGATTGTCCAAAACTTCTCTGCATGTAAAGGAGGAAACTCTGGAACTTGCAACTCTTGTGAGGCATTCTAACAAAAATACAATATTCCAATTTAAATTAGTTTGGTTTGGGAACTGATCAGTGTTTTATGTCTGGATATTGAGGAGGGAATGCCTGAAATTCAGGAAGCTGCTTCCCATTTCCCCATGGATTCCCTTCCCAATGTCTGGATTTGATGATCTGAGCTCTTTTCCAACACAAGAACTGTAAAAACCTTCACTTTCAAAAGCCCAGTGACCTGCAGTGGCAGAATGGTGCGGAAACAGAAACAAGAAGGGGATCAATCACCAAGAATTATGCTAGGAAAACACTTTCTCACCCTGTTTCACCCCAGAGCAGCTCCACGGAGGAGCTTTTTGGGGTGTGGGTGTGTGCCTTCTAAAACAGTGACTTTTTCAAACACAGAGGTGGCTCAGGAGAGCAATAAAAGCAGCTCAGGGAGGTTGTGTCCTGAGAAAGAGCCTCCCCAAGGCTTGGCCTGGGGATGGATGGGGGAGATGCACCAGCAGATTTCAAACCACTACCTGACAAACTGAGAAATAATCCCAGGTTATGAAATAACAGAGGTGCAGTGGGCGTATGTATACTGACTTTTACCAAACTATCAAAAATTTCTGATTAAAAAAAATCAAAATTTCAAATGATTAAGTATTGATTCAGGAAGAACCTCTGGACTGAGACCAGAAGTAGGAGTGGAAAGCAACTAAAATCTGCTCTCAAACACTCTTAAGGTGCAGATAAATGAACCCAAAATTCAAATCACTCGTTGAAATAATGTAATTTGCCATTTTAGAACTGAAAAGGAAAATCCAGAAAGCCCCCCCCCTTACACATCACTTCCTCTAGCTCACTCCTTCTTGCCTGCTGCACATTGTGAATAAAGTTACAGCAGCAGCTCTGTCTGGATCCTGTTTGGAAAGTGGCTGAGGGAAGGAAGTTCAAAACATATTTTTAGGACACTCAGGCAATAAAGTTTCCCACTTAGATTATTGTGGATGTTGTGCAAGTTGTTTTTTAATTTACAGTTACACTGGAGAGCACGGGATGCTTTTATTCTTAATTTAGGCACATTCCATGTTTCTCAGCATAACTGCAAATTGAAAATAAGCGCTGGCAATATCGCCAGTGATGGAGCTGAAGGAGGACTTTATAGTCTGAAATGTTCTAAAATTTGTTCTTAATTACCTCGTGCACATTTTACACAATTAAATTTCCATCCCAGGATTTTGCATTTAGATTGTGCACTGCAGTTAAACCCTCATTTTCTGGAAAAGCAGCCGCCACTCTGCCACGCTCAAACTTTCAAAAGCAGACTTAACTACTGGATAACACAAAATTCCCCAGGTGGAATACCATTCCAAGACCAATTTATACATTCCTAGATAGATGGCTTCAAATCACCTGAAACTCTGCAGGGTATGGACCCTAATAAATATTAAATACCTCAAAAACTACTCCAAGATTTTTCTTCTCCTCCTAATATCAATTTTGCTGTCCTCTTATTGCGGAGGCTTTTAAAAAAAAAAAAAATCCAAAAGGATATAGCAGCAATTTAGCAGAGTTAAAGTGCTTCTGAGGTTAAACTGACAACAAAGAGGAACAGAAACACAAAGCATCTTGAAGTAGGGTTTCAATTAAATGTGCAGGATTTAGTAATGCAGGGCCCCGACAAAAAAAAAAAAAAAAAAAAGAAAAAAAAAAAAAAGAGTTACAAATTAATTTAATCTTCTGCCTATAGTTTGCAGCTGCACTCCAAAGTGTCTGGGGCTTAAGAACAAAGCCTTG